GGCCTCCTCTTTGAACCAGGTGTGGCCTCGGGCTGAGGCACAAGTGCCACTGTGCAGAGCTTCGTTTCTCCTGAAGAATTTCCCGAAATCCTCTTTTAAAAATCACAGCGCACTCCCTCATTTTCTTTGTAAATGGAATAAAAAGATAAATTGAATTTCTTGGCAATTCAAGAAACTGTTAAACCAATGGTTCCAATTGCCTGTCGCCTCCGCCATCCCCAAAGCCCACGCTCCCCTGGCCACCAGCACGAGAGGAGGGCCTGCTCCTCGAGGCCTGACCCCAACTAGGCCTCCCGCCCCCGCTTCTCTCCCCAGCGACCCCAGTCGGACGCCGAGAAGCCCCAGGCCCGGCCCGGCCCGGCCCCCGCAGGGGCGACAGGCTCTACCTGAAGGGCAGGAGCTCATGTTTATAACCTGGGCTGCAGTTCCATTCCATTCTTTTAATTTTTCATTACATATCGAATAGATATCAAAAAATATAAAACAGGTGTATTGGGCAGGGAGCATGATGGATGCCCACAGACCAAACTGTAAGTCTGAGCGGAGCCCGCGCCGCGGTGCGCCCGCCCGCCTGCTCGCGCTGGCCCTCGGAGTCCGCCCTGCTGCGCCCCGAGCCCCGGGCCTGGCCTGGGCTGGTCTGAGCAGTGTTGGAATATGGTGGTTATCATCCCATTAGAAGAGTTTCCAATTTCCATAACAAGGACTTCTCTGACCTGTGAGTGATTTGGGAGAGTATTTCTTAACTTTTTTATTGCCTTCTTCTGGAATTTTTTCAATTTTTCCCCCTTCTAATAGCTTCCAAGTTATATGTTTTAATATCACTTTCTAGGTATTATGTTAAAATTTTTATCACAGTCTAAAGCAAACGTTTCTCCCCCTCCTGACCAATGCAGAGCCCTTACAGCTCTCCAGCGCGCCTCGCTCTCCCGGTAGGCGCTGCCCGGCCGTAGGCGGCGTTGGCCCTGGCCGCTGGGCCGTCACCGAGGTGGTGGCGGTGGGCTGGGGAGCCCCGACGCTCTCTTATTTCTCCTGATTCACCCCCATCGCTGGCCCTGACTGTCCGGCGGGAAAGAGTCAAACGCAAATGCCAAAAGAAATGGAGCTTTGAAAAATCCACCTATTTGCTTATTTTTAATGACCAGTGTGTCAATTATCCTACAAATCAGCTTAACCTAGGTCATCGGTAAAAACTAATGCACCTGCATGTCAACATCCAACACAGGCTGCATGGGACGTGACCGTCCGGCCACATGCGTACGTGACGCACCTCGGTGCGAGTGATTCCCTTGCTTGGGCATCCAGCGTTTTTCTAGAATTTTCTGTTTGTATGTTTGATTGCTTTGTATGGCTTCTTTTTAGTTGACTTTTAAGAAAAAAATATATGGGAGACATTAAAATAGAAAAAAAAGTAGCCCATAGTTTACAAAAAATAATCAAGAAATCCCCATTATACAATTTAGAAATAATGTATAGTTCACAGATGCCAAAAATCACTCAGGAGGGCAAAAAACCGGTGTGTGCTGAAATCGAAAATGATTTCTTACAGGTGAAGCTGGCCCACGTCTCCAGCGCGACCCCCGCCTGGGGGCGTCTCAGGGCCCGTCTGCCGCGGCGGGGAGACCGGGGTTGCAGCACCCTCCTGCCCTTGTCGCTCCTGAACTCTGCAGAGAAAGGGGAAACGCTCTAACTTTTAAAACGTATAAAGACTATCTCTGATGTATTTTGGGGAGTCACAGGCACTACACATTAATTATCTTGGAAATCTCTCCTTCCTTCTTGGAAATGCTTTCCTGGTTAAAATCTGATTGCTGATTTTGGACAGTGTTACCTAGCTCTATCTTTATTACTAGAAATACAAAACAGCAGATGCATTTATGTCTTTCCCTAGATCTCTTCTGCGTTCCCTGCCTCAAGCGTGGTTACAGCATCCACGCAGCTCTGAGCTCTGAGGAGGCCGAGTCGGGACCCCTCCCTCAGGCTGTCACGCCCACCGGCTCAGCGCTGCCCTTGCTTCCCTCACAGCTCTCAGGTCTGCCACCTCCTGCACCTGGAACGCGGCCGCGCCGGCCCAGCCTCGCCAGCCCCGACCTGGGCTAGTGCGGTGCGCGCCTCCCTGCGCGCCGGCCGCCGCTCTCTCCCTGCACCCCCAACGCGTGCCACAGCCAAACCGGGAGATCTTTCCCAAACACCAAACTGGCCGTGTTCCTACTGTACCAGGAGTTTCCGGCACTTGGGAGCCCATGCTCGCTCACTGGGCAGGCGTAGCTCCGCTCCCTCTCCAGCTTTCATCCCCAGCTCAGCTGGCCTGACCTCCTCGCACCCCCCTCTGTTTCCTCCAGCTCCTTAGGCGTTGTGCCCTTTGAGAGCTGAATCCCGGCATCGCCCCTCGGGGGGGCCCTGACCTGCCCCCCTTTACCCAAACGGCTGGGTCAGGCTCCCTCACAGACCCGGGCGTCGCACATCAGACAGAGAAAGAGATTTATGATCTTGCGCATCAAGAGTTAGGGTGTCAAGTGTGGACACAAAAGCAAGGACGTATTAGATTCAAACCTCTTAGGTTCAAACCGACCTTTCTAAACCCCAGAGATAGGTATACATAAAAATATTACTCATAAAAAAAATAACTCTGGGTTCCCCAAGGAGCCAGTTTTTCAGTAAATACAATCAGCTGTTCTCCAGCCATCGACAGCCCGGGGCGCCTAGGTCGCTGCCACGCAGTGATTTAAGACCTGGAAGGGCTTTAACAATCGTTCCAACAACCCCTCAAGCACAGACGCTACTGTGAGCCCCGCAGGCGTCCTGCACGGCAATGACACTCGGCCAGTGACTATCTCTGGACGCTGTGAGGTGTCCTTGTTTCGCTGGTTCTAGGTTCTGCTTTCATCGCTACCTACTGTCTCTGCTTAAAACATTCGCAGAAACAGAGATGTTAAATTTTGTCCCAACTTGGCCGAATGATGCAAAGCTGCTCTCTACCTCAAGTGGCTGATGCTGCGCCGTGAACCTCCACTGTGCCCTCCGACAACGGGTGACGAGCCAGTACGATGACAGCAGTCTCATGTCTTGTGCTGAGCTGGTCACACTTTCTCCTTCTGCCTCTCTTTCTAGCAAAGTCTTAAAAAGGACCTTAGGGAAGAGAACCCCCCTCCTTGCTTCATTATTATTATTTTTCTACCCTCACCTGAGGACATTTTTCCCCTGTTGCTCCCAGAGAGTGAGAAAGAGGGAAAGACGGGGAGAGAAACATTGACGTGAGAGAGTAACACCGACTGGTCTCCTTCTCGTGTGCCCCTGGAATGAGAGTTGAACCCGCAGCCTGGGTCTGCGCCCTGCCTGGGAATCAAACCTGTGACCCTTCGGTCTATGGAATGACACTCCCACCAACCGAGCCACAGTGGCCGGGGCTTCTTGTTTTAATTTAGACTTGAAGAAAAGTGAGTGACTTGCTCACTCGCCGCTCAGGCCGAGCAAACTTGTTCTTAACCTTCTCGGCCTCCAGCTTTCGTCCTCAGTCTCCACTCTGACCTCCCATTACGGCCACCGGCTCCCTGCTCAGGGCTGAGCTAGGGCCTCGGACGCTCTCTGGTCCACTGACAGGCTCTCAACCAGCTCTAGCCACTTGGCTCTTTCCATGGGAAGGCCAGCGAATGGCCAGCTTGTACTGCAAAACAGCGACTCATAAACACTTGAGCTTAAAGTAACATGGAAACCGTTCAGTCAGCAGCGCAGCCTGGGAAGGGGAGACCGATGGAACCCCCTCGTCTCAGCGCCCCCGCGGCGAACTCCTCCCCACCTCCCTCCTGTGGGTGCTCTTCCAGGTGACAAGAATGCTGCCTCCAAGAGCCCTGCTTGTCCTTCACCCACAAACACACAACTGTTTCAATTAAACAAGCCTGTCGCATCCTTAAACATTGTACAGTGTGTGTGTGTGTGTGTTTGCGTGTGTTATAAAACTCAAAGCACAGGATGCGTACCATCCAGGTTGAAATAAAAAATACAACATTTATATTGTACAGTTAGATCATCGTTCATTTTCTGTTCTTGTTACATCATAGAATAGAAAAAAGATGAAAAAAATGACTGCTTTCGATGTCACCTTTACGCCAACTTCTTCAAGCAAGGCCGCTGGGTGTGAGCACACACTTGGTCCAACCCCACAGGCGGTTCTGTGTTTCACATTTTCGGTGGTTCCTTCCTGGCACGGATAAGCCAGGAGGCGGCCCACACAGACGCTCTTGCTGTGGTAACAACGTTGCACCTGCCATGCCCAGTGTCTAAGCCAGACCGCGGCTCCACTGTCTGTTCCAGAAAAGTCAGGCAGACAGTCACTTCTTTTAGCTGCTTATCATACACTTTCTTTAATAAAGGGCAGACAGACAAAAAGATTTGCTAATCAAATACATTTTGAAATTCATTTGTCAGGCATTTTTCCCCATCAGGAAGCCATTTCATTCCCGAATTGCCTTGAATGTAAGAGCTCATTACAATGCGGTCGCATTTACGGAAGAAACGCGTCAGCCTCACACAAGTGGGTCAAGGTGCAGTGGGAGGAGGCCCGTTGATCTGTGCGATGCGTTTGGGAAACTGGGCTTTCCCCGTGACATCTGTCATCGCCTGTCTTGGTCCCAGGGGCACGAAGAGCGCGCCCAGGGGGTCAGCCTGGTTCCGAGCCCCCACCTCCAGCCCAGTGGCTGCGTCTGGGCGGCGGGCTCCCCGCGGCCCAGCCTGGCCCGGGAGGCCAGCGGGGTGGTGTCGCGGGACCGCGCGGACCCGCAGGGCGCACAGGCCGGTACCGGGGGGCGCTCACTCCGAGGCCACCGCGTGGCGTCTCAGCTTCCGCCAGGCCTGCGGGAAGACCAGGCCCGACCATCTGGGCCGCCCTGCCCCTCCGCGCGTTCGCGTGGCCTTGCAGGTAGTTGGCTCTCCCGCGAGGGCCTCCTTGACTGAGACTCGTGTCTTCTCCCAGGTGACGAGCCGGCTGGGACGCAGCCTCCTGGGCCATGGAGGACCGTCGCGGGGCCGCGGCGGCGCTCCTGGAGGACTGCGGGCGCCTGCTGGCCGAGCTGCGCGAGGCACCGGCGCGGGGCGCGGAGGGCGAGGAGGACGAGCCGCACGGAGGTGAGGCCCCCACTGCCCCTCCTGCCCCCCACCCCCCACCTGCCGGTGACCGTGCGCGCGGGCGCGGAGGCTTCGCCGCTGTGAATTGCTGTCAGTTCTCATTTCAGGCTTCAGTAAACAGGAGGCCCCAGGAAACAGTTTAGTTCGAGAAGAACAAAGGCAGCGAGTGGCCCGTGCCGTAGATTTCAATTATTAAAAAACTGAAGCAGCTTGTCAACGGCCGCACATCTTTTTTCAAACTGGGCTCCTGCGCCCCATTGGTTTCCATAGATGCGCAGGTTCCCCCCAACCCGCCCCACCCCGCCCCCCCGGGCTCTGTCCGGGGCCATCAGGACATTTCTCAGGCCGAGTCCCGTCCGCTTGTACAACAAAGGCGCTCGCGCAGATAACCCCCTCGCAGGGTGATCAGGGTGGGAGAGCTGGGCCTTTTGCTCATTTCATGCTTAGTGCCCTTAGTCTCAGGTGGGGCATTGTTCCGGGCGTTTCCGTCAGTCTGGGGAGCTGCAGATTGCTTGGTGCCTCTGCAGCCGCTTTGGCAGACAACCTTCTTCCCTAAGGTTCCGGTTAATTAGAATACATGTCCCTGCATTTCTGGGTGTGTCCCTCGCACGTGCGTTCGCTGCTGTCCTTGTCTGCAGCGCCTCCTGCTCCTCACAGAGGTGGGCCCCACACGGGGCACCTGCACCCGCGCCCACACCCTCCATCGTTGATGGTGATGAGCAGAGGCTCTGGGTCTCCTTCCCACGAGCTTGCGGGTGCGCCCGTGGCTTCCCAGCACCCACGCGGAGCGGGGGTGGGGGGCAGGCTGTGGGCGCCGCTGCCGCACTCCGCGCAGGCCAGCACCGGGCCCCCGTCTCAGGAAAACAAGGCCGCCAGACGTGGAAGGGCTGAGAGGCAGGCAGGAGTCGCTGGGATGAAGAGGGACAGTGGATATCAGGGTCCGCAGAGGTGAAGCCCAGTTAGATTCGGGCAGGAAGATAGCAAACGGCCCAGGAGACAGACCTGGTGTCACAGGGTGTGGGCAGAGGGCCGTCCCAGCAGCGGGTGAGAGGGGACACGGAGCTGGGGGTGGAAGAGACGCTGAGCCTTGTCTCAGAGGCGTGGAGTCTGCGGTGTTCACACGACAGACACCTGGAGATGCCTGGCTGGCAGCCGTGAGAGGGTCGCACCTGCGCCCCGGGACCGAGTGTCCACGCGCTCAGGGCGCACTGTGCCTGTGGCTGCGGGGACCTGCTCCCCAGCAGGGCCTGGGCGGTGCCGAGAGCCAGGCATGACCGTTTTGGCAGCAAAGCCTTTGGCTAGGCTCAGCCTGCGGTAAGCGTGGCTGGAAACAGCCTCCAGTCACTTCGAGTCGCTCTGGGGGTCACACTCAAGAAAAACCGGCACGTCCCCAGAGCTTGTTGGGTCTACGAAGTCTGGATAGGAGATCGCAGACTGGTATCAAGAATTAGGTCGGGTGGCCACTAGGGAAATAAGTAGATCTGCAACTGTGAAGCACTCAGACCACCCCCGGCTGCATCCGGGGGCGTCCGCAGTGAAAGTGCGGGGGAGGTCAGGCTTGGAGAACAAAGAGCCTGCGTCCCCAGCTGCCACCGGCCCCGAATGCCACTCTGACTCAGGCCCTTTCTCACTTTACAGGGAAAATAATGTTTCCTCCGTCCCTGTCTCTGATTCCTCATGCAGAGATAGCCACTGAAGTGCTTTGCTTCCTGCTAAACCTGGCTTCATGCCTCGCTGCCCCCATTCACCTGCAGGCCCGCCGGGCACCGCCGTCGTTCTGGGAGGGGGCAGGGGTGCTTCCGCCACGAGGCACTTCGGCGCAACACGGGAAGCTCAAGCCTTTTCTCTGAGAGCCATTTCCTCACCTGAACTCTGACCTTTCCAGCTCCCCTCCCCAGCGAGCTGAGGACCCTCATCCAGGAGGCCAAGGACATGAAGTGGCCCTTCGTGCCTGAGAGGTGGCAGTACAAACAAACCGTGGGCCCGGAGGACAGAATCGACCTGCAGGACGTGATCGGAGCCTGGCTGCAGCCGCTGCTGGTAGGGCCCCACACCACCGGCCACCCCGGCCCCCACCCCGGCGTTTCGCCGTCCGTGGTGCAAGAGATGGGATTTCTTGGGGGCGCCCTCGGTCACCTCCGCCAGGCTGACTAATGTCAGGGAGCCACTCTCAGACAAGCACTGCCGCCCGGGGGGCCCGCTGCCAGGAACCAGGTTAAGTGAGGGGAGGGCCGCCCGGCGGCCGAGCTGAAGCTGCCGCCCTGGAGCGCACGCCGCGCGGGCCGGACAGCAGCCTGTTGGCACCGGGCCTCGTGGCGTTTCTGTTTGCAAAGGCCACCTATGCAAGTTGGGCAGCTTCAGGACAGGGTGGGGCAAAAGCAGGTTCACAGTTGCTCGTATGGAAAATAATGCAGTCATTAATAAATCATGAAAGCAGCAGCAGCTCCGTGTCCCCGTACTCACAGCCGTGAGCCTGCTCCTGCCCCTCAGTAAGTTCCCGCCGCTGCGGTCAGAGCGGTGACGCCCGGCTCGGCCCGGCGCCCCGCAGCCCCCGCTGCACCAGAGCCGCCACGGCTCCTTCCTGCGCCACACGCCCCCCCACCCCAGGCGGGCACAGCAGGGCCTGGGGCGGAGCCCAGCCGTGTGGGCCCCGCTCCACGCAGGGCCTGAGGGAGTCTCCGCGGCACTGGCTGCCTTTCCGGAAGCGTCGTTCCTCGTCCACTTTGTCTCAGATGCTGTCAAGGAAGGGAGTGTACGAGCTCCTGTGCGTTTTTTTCTCACATAAAAATATGTTTGTCTGGAGACCAGGAATGACAGGCAATGGCGATATCCTAAACTCTCTATGTTAGAAGTTCACCCGGGAATGTGTTTGGGGTCCTCTCCAAATAAATGTAGACATTGTCTTTGCCTTCAGAACACAAATCCAAGACAGACCCTGGTCTACACACACAGCACAGCAGCAATGAAACCCCCACCTACCCCAGACCCCCCGAAAAATGCAGAGGGGGGTTAGGCAGAGGGGCTGCGGCAAAGCCGAGCGGTCGGCCGGGCAGGGGCGAGGCTGGGCCGGGCGCCGAGCGGTGGCTCGAGAGCCGCGCGGACTGGGCCACGTCCTTCACACGTCACCGCGCCGTCTGCAAACGGCCCGCACAGGTGGCGTCTCACTGAGTTCTCCAAACAGGTCTCCGGCGACTGTCGCCTCTGTCGCCCCCCCTTGCCCCAAGGACATTGCGTGCGGAGCAGGGAGCTGGCCCAGCCCAGGGGACAGACCAGTGAGGCGGGGGTGGGGGCACCCCGGTTGTCCCTGGAGGGGCCCAGGTGCGGGCATCGGGGCGGCTCGCCCTGAAGGCAGCCGCTTGAGAGGTGGCGAGTGAGACTGCAGAGTGGGTTGTTTAAAGTTTTATTTAATATTATTTCCGTTTCTACCTAAGTAGCCACGTGCGGCTAAGGCCACCGTGTCCCCAGACAGCGCAGGGCAGAGGCAGAAACGCTGCACGGGAGCCCGTGCCCAGCAGGGGCAGCGTCACCTGGAAGCATGGGGACACCTGCTCCTGGGCCCGTCTGCCACCCTGTCAAAGGCCCTGGGCCCAGGGCCTGTCCCCCAGCGTCAGGCAGGCCCTCGGGTGCCGCGACGCGAGCGTTGGGGGGCCCCTGTCCTGAGAGAACAGTGGGGTGGGGATCGGGGGGATCTTTTTTCATAAATCTAAGCTTTCTACAACTTTTTTCCTCACGTGACTCAGTCCCTACAATGTTTTTCCTCCTTTTAAAAATCATCATCACACACAGAGTGTCAACATGGTGTGTTTGTTAGTTTCCCAGAGCAGAGCCAACGGGACACTTAAGAAAAAGGCGCGTCCCAGACACCTCTTCTCCACAGGCCCAAGTGGCTGACGTTCACGCGCCCCTCTCTGAGGCCGAACTCCATCGAGAGCGAGGTGCGAGTTCTGTGCTTGGCTGCCCGCCCTCCCTGCTGCCCCCGTCCGGCCCCACCCTCTCTGCCACCCTCCGGCGTGTGACCACAGGCAGAAGCTTATGGAGGGGACCGCCGTCCCTCCCCGCCACACGAAGCCGGCCCCCCTGTCCCTGAGAAACGCCTGCGGACGCCCCGGGACCTGGGCGCTGGGAGGTGAACGCGGCCGGAGAGGCCGGGTGGGCTCCTGGCGCCGTGCCCTCTCCCCAGGGAGGCGGGCCCTTTCCGGGATGATACCAGTTACTTATTGCGAAAACATCTGTTGATAACTGCAGCTGCCCTCAGCAGACAAAGCCGATCCCGGGTCGCAGGCTGCGGGGACCTCGGCCCGGCTCGCGCTCGTTTCCGACGATTCAGGGACGCCCTCCCGCCCAGGGTTACCATCCCCCGACCGTCTCCTCAGCCACAGAAATGCCCCGCGGCTTTGAAGTGTGATTCCATCTCCATCGCTGATTTATATCCCGGCCATTGTGCAGTGGGAAAAGAGGGGGAACTTTTTGTTTTCTATTTAATTGTATATCGCCTGACACTTTGACCTGTATTATTAGTATTAGTAAGAAAAAGGATTTTCTCCTTCTCTTATTTAAAAATAAAATTTCAAGGGAAAGTAAGCTCTCCTTCAGCTCTTTTCACTCACAACAATGTTTACACTCTGAGAGGGAGAGATGAAAAGCACGAGCAATTTTTTCAAGTGCCAGGGTAGGCGTCTCAGTTTCTGAAAGAGAACAGTGAGGCTCTTACAAATATCATTCAGGGAAACCTTTGATGGAGTTTTCAAAAGTACTGAAGGCATTTAGCTTCTGTGTCAGGCGGGCGCGGCTCTGCCCAGGCGCCCGCCCGGCCGCAAGGGCCTGCCCGGCCCCAGCGTGGACGCCACCTTTGTTTCCAACGACCTTCCCTTTTCTGGAAAGAACAATTTCTACGCAATGAGAAGAAGATATGAAAACACAGCTCCTGAGAGGTGGACACAGGGTGTGCGTGGGCGGGCGGCCTGGGCCCCGGGGACTGAGGCGGGGCGCGGCCAGGCAGACACCTGGCCTGGCTCCCTGGGAACCTGCCCCCGGGGTCCTGCGCGGGACCCGCGGCCGTGTTTACGACACGGTGGCTGCAGGGGCGTTCAAGGAGAGGAAGCGGGCTCAGAACAAGGGCCTTCGTCCACGTCCTCTTCAGCTTTGCAGCTGTGACCGTGGGTCGCCCATCGGCCTTCGTGCCACGGACGCTGGGGGTGTCCAGGCTGCCTCGTGGTATTTCAAGAGAGACCAAGAAAATAAAGGCTTAGCTGTTCTCTAATGCTACCGCGGGCGAAAAATCTGTGGATAAATCAAGTTCGGTAAATTCAGCTTCCAGAACAATTTTTTTTCTAATATGCCTTTTCAGATACTCTTGGTGCTTTAAGTTGTTGATATTTTCATTGTTGGACGACTTACACCCGGAATGGATCAAGGATTAAAGCGCAAACGAGAATGAGTAGGAGAGTTGGTCCTTACCCGATGGCAGGGAAGTGCTGTCGAACCCTGCAGTGTGGCTTTAGGAAGAGACAGCTCAAGTGTGGACTTCGGAGCAGGTGGAAAAGCAGCGGCCGCTGTGTCCAGCGCTGCAGGGCGGAGGCCCGCGGCGGCGGCGAAGCTCCCCCGCGCATCAGCTCTGGGTCGGATCTTGTCCTTAACGCGAAGTGAGAGCCGCTCATCCCGGGACCGGCTTCCCGTCGGTAACAGAGGGTGCGAAGCGAGCCGGCGTCTGCGGCCTGCGGTTCCGCCAGCGCCTGCTGTTCTCGCAGGAAGTCGCACCTTCCCCTCAGGGCTTTGGGTTTCATGGCGAAGCTCTTCCTCATCAGGACGCAGAACGCAAAGTGGATGCAACCGCGTGTTCATTCCTCCGCGCGGCCGACGTTGCCGTTGACGTGGGCGGCGTGCGCTTCCCGGGGGCTCTGATATCAACGCGAAAGCAGCAGAAGCCCCGCCCACGTCACGACCGCCAGAAGGGAGGGACGGCCGCGCGCGGTTGGAGGCCTGCGGTCGCGTGGCCTCGCAGCCGTGGGCGCCTCGCCTGCGCAGGCGCTCCGAGCCCGCTGCTCAGCGCCCCCAGGCGTGGCCTTGGGGCCGCCTCCGCCAGCGAAATGGGACCCGCCGCGCCGAGCAGCCGCACCAGCCTCCTGGGCTCGCAGCTGGGCGGCGTCCTTTGCCTCCGCCTGGACCCGAAGACGGCGGCAGGCAGCCGGCGGCACAGGCGGGGAGCTGTTCAGGGACGCGGCGGCGGCGACGCGTGGACGCCGTGTCCGCACGGAGCCGTTCCTCGTGCTCGCACGTCAGAACCTTGTCGTCTGCGACGTCTAAACGAGGTTGGATTGCAGCACAGCTGACCCTGCTGATGAAGCATTTACTCCTGCTGTGCTTGAATGCGAGGGACTCTCCGGAGTCACGGAAGGGAGGGCGAGAAACGGTTCCGCGGTTCCTCCCCGCACGCACAGCTGCGGACTCACACCCCGCACCCTTAGGCCCTCATCCCCTCGGCTGCGGCCCTTCCCCGCGACGGAGCAGGAAGCCCGGGGCCGCGGGGCCCACACGGCTCTCCCCGGGCCTGCAGCTGCCCGAGGCCAGGGGCCGGTTCTGCTAACAGGGACGTTCCAGGGAGAGCGAGGCGGCCCAGGCCGGGTTGGAGACGCTGCTTGGGGCCTGGTCTGGGTCTGAGTCCCCTGCCGCTCCTCCACGGCCGTCTCGTCGCGGGCGGCGGCGGCTTCCGTTCGGCGTCCCTGAGCGGTAGCAACCTGCGCGCCGCTTCACAGGCGAGTGGAGGAGACGGCGAGGGCGCGGAGCGGCTGCGGTCGCCCACGCGGGACTCACAGAGCGCGCGGCCCGGGGCCAGACCGGTGCAGCAGGATCGTGACGCGACCGCGGCAGCAGCATAAGGCGGGATGGGCAGAAGCTAAGATCAAACAGAGCACTCAAGCCTCTCTCGGAATTTCGCTATCAGGACGTCAAACGGCGACTGTGGTGCGTTTTCAGAATCGCCAGGACTGCGTGAAACACCAGAAGTCACGTGGTTCGCGGAGGGTGACTGTCACCAGCAGACG